GTTAGCGTAATGGCTATGTTGCTGGACTCCCATGTAGTCGACCATGGTTCGAGTCCTGGACCCAGTGGCTTAAATTCACGCCAGGAGCATGTGCATGCGTGCCCAAGATCCTGGGAGGAGAATGGAGGAGAAGGGATTGTGACTTGGCCTTCCCCCCCAGGTGGTGATTTCTCACTTTCTGTCTCTTTCTCTCTCTCTTTCCAGTTCTCTGGCAAGATTATGCACCTTATAGCAAAAATATCTTTAAAAAAAAAAGAAAAAGAAAAAGAAATAACTACTTTACTAGCTGTTTAAATCATTGACATGATTTACCATAATTAACTCTAACATTTCCCTACTATTGTGGAAGTTATTTCTAATTTTGCACTATTATTAATGATGCTTCAGTAAACATCATGCATAAAGAGTGTCCTCTTTTAAACTATTTCTTTAGGATAATATCAGCAGCAAGAACATCTTAGTTAAAGAATATAAATTTTTAAATGGTTTTTGTGTCAGCTGCATAATTCACAATTTTACAAGCCACCAATCCTAATCTTTGATAGCCCTTTTTCACATAGTAAACATTCTTCTCATATGGTGCAGTGAGATTATAAATTGGCACCCTTGTTTTCAAAGGCAATTTGAGATACTTTTGAAAATTAGAGTTTTGTTTCAAGGAATTGGTTCTTTGAAATACTTGCATATCGGGCCAGCCCACGGCATGATGGCTAAGGGGTTAAGGCAGCTGGGTCCTATGTGGCTAACTCTAAGGTCTGAGTCCTAGACTCAGCAGCTTAAGAAACATTCCAAGCACATGTGTATGAATGCCCAAAATCCTTAAAGGAGAGAGAGATGGAGAAGGGATTGTGATATAACCATTTCTTATGGGATGGGAATGCTTTCTTGCTTTTTCTGTCTTTCTCCTTGTCTCCAACAAGTACATGCAGCCTCTGGCAAATTTTTTTAAGAAAAAGAAATGCTGGGGCCAGCAGGTGGCATGGTGGTTAAAGGCGCTGGACTCCCACATAGCTGACCATGATTCAAGCCCCAGACCTGGCAACTTGCTTTCTCACTCCCGCCCCCCCATCCCCATCCCTCTCTGGTCAAATTGAAAGAAAGAAAGAAAGAAAGAAAGAAAGAAAGAAAGAAAGAAAGAAAGAAAGAAAGAAAGAAAGGAAGAAAGTTAGTTCTTAAAATAAAAATATCGGTGGGAACCAGCAGTTAGCGTAATGACTATGTCACTGGACTCCCATGCGTCCAGGACCCGGTGGCTTAAAACTCATGCCAGGTGCATGTGCATGTGTGCCCAAGATCTCGAGGGGAGGATGGAGGAGAAGGGATTGTGGCGTGGTCATCCCCCCCGGGGGGTAATTTCTTGCTTTCTGTCTCTATGTCTCTGTCTGTCTGGCGAGCGCACACACCCTATAGTGAAAACCTCTCCAAAAAAAATATATATATATATATAAATACTGGTATCCTTACCCAACAAAAAGTAAGCAAAGATGTTCACTATAGTATCATTTATGGTAGCAAAGAAATAGAAATCTACCCAATTATTTATCAAAGGAAGAATGTTTAAATGAGGATAAAACAATATACTGAGTTTTATTTCTGTTTTAAAGAAACTATATGCATGTATTTGTGTGTATGTGTGTTTGTGTGTGTGTTTGTGTATCTGTGTATGCAATGCACAGAGTAAGGTCTAGAAGAATATACTAATAGTAGTTACCTATAGAGAGAGATTATATTGGGAGGAAAGGGGTGGCAGGGTGGTGATGAGAGAGAAATTATGTCTTTCACACTATAGATGTGTATGTATTTGAATTGTTTATGGTGAACATAAATTCAAATAAAATTTTATCATTAAAATAACTTTTAAAATAAAAAAATAAATAAATGATGTAAAATGAGTAAAATATCCTATTACGTGACTGGGGGGGTACATCCAACTGTTTCCTCTCTCCTCTATCTCCTCTCTTTTATTATTAGCAATCTGAATAACACTGAAACTACCAATACATTCCATTACTGTCTTAGTCTATGGCTTCTTGTTTTCAAATCAATAAACCCAGACAGTAATTAGTGCTGAGAGAGGGAAATTAATAGTTGAAAATGTTAAAAAGTTAAAAAGAAAAAAACTGAGGAACCACATATTTCCAAACAATATACCTAAAATCCACTTCTCTGTATGCTATCTTTTCATTCTGCTTTTAGCCCTGTGGTTGACTGGATGCATGGAGAAACTGCTGGATATTTAAGCCTGCAGGTCACGAGGTATCCTGCAGGCTATTTGGGTCAGAATCAAATAGCAGTTACTAAATATCAGAAGTCCCTATCCAGGTCACCCTCCAGATCTAAGGGTAGTGAGCAGAAATCTACAGCTGCCCCAAGTGCCCCTGCTGACGCAGAAGTTCAAGATCCCCTCTCTTAAACATTCAGGAACACCAGTCATCATGACAGTGACCACCACAGAGTTATCTATAAATTAAAACAAAAAATTCTGTTTTGGCTTTCTGAAAGATTATTATTTATGTTCTAAAGATTAAACATGCTAGCTAAACAAAGTGCACTCTGACTGAGATTGCACACCATTCAAGCAGAGACTATTTCTATTTTGGTCACGAGCCCGTGGCTGGCCCACAGTAGGCTCTCAATAAATAGTTGTTGAACTAACATGATTTGGACCAGGGAGCTCCTCACATGGAAGTGAATTTGGGTGGAACTGGCCAGTGGGAGGGAAGAATGAGACAAGATGGATTCCCAGATACAGAGGCAGGGCTCTATAACTGATGAGAATGTGATCTCATTTAAATCGTTAAACCTTTTTAGGTCTCACCTCCCTTTTCTGTAGAGCAAGGGAGTTGATCCTGTGAAATTAAATGTCAAGAAATCACTTAAAGGCAGTCGAAATGCTAAAATATGCACTCTAGGATAACTTATAAACCTTCCTTTAACAAATGTCTTTGGGTACTTTCATTTCAAAACCAATATTGCAGAGAGAAAGAAACATTTTGAAATGGGGATATATTACCTTCACCACTGATTGTCATTCTGTGATTAAGTTTCAAACCACTTGGAAGAGGGCAATCCATTTGAAAGCAAGACAAGAAAGATAACAAGTAAAGAAGCAAACTGTCAGCTTATAGGTTTTGTAAGTTATCATTCCAGATTGCAAAATCCATTATTTATACAAATTATCTTGACCTAATATATTCTAGAATAGTACCTTATAGATATTGTTGAATTTGGGGAATAATTATCAAAAAATGCAGGATACGCTTTTGAGGAGATCTTTAAACAATCATTTTCAGAAAACTCATAACCAAAGTATGATAAATCAACCAAATCCTGTTTTAAAGGACCAAAAAGATTTCTAAGGACAGAGACATTAAGTACAAAATTTACCAAATTTAGCAAAAAGGTCTACTTACTAATAACCATGCCCTTCATCTACAGAGCTGCAAATCAGACTGAACTACAGCAAAGGGTTATGGAGGGCAGGGAGTGGATGCACACTAGTATGCCCGCCTCCAAAACTCTGGTCTGTCAGAGCAGGCCATCAGGTGTCTCAGCTTACATGAGGAACTCCTTAGGCTGAAATGGGAAAAAAACAATGGCAGGTGTCCTTAGGACTTCAGGAGAAATGTGACTGAATCTAAAAGAAAGTTAGAAGTCACACCAACCTCTGAAGGATGAAGAGGTGGTCTCAAAAGCCAGAAAAGCGCCTTGAGAGAGGGAAATGTCAAAATACAAGTCCCTTAGCTTGTGCTAAAGAAGCAAACTGTCAGCTTATAGGTTTTGTAAGTTATCATTCCAGATTGCAAAATCCATTATTTATACAAATTATCTTGACCTAATATATTCTAGAATAGTACCTTATAGATATTGTTGAATTTGGGGAATAATTATCAAAAAATGCAGGATACGCTTTTGAGGAGATCTTTAAACAATCATTTTCAGAAAACTCATAACCAAAGTATGATAAATCAACCAAATCCTGTTTTAAAGGACCAAAAAGATTTCTAAGGACAGAGACATTAAGTACAAAATTTACCAAATTTAGCAAAAAGGTCTACTTACTAATAACCATGCCCTTCATCTACAGAGCTGCAAATCAGACTGAACTACAGCAAAGGGTTATGGAGGGCAACACTAGTATGCCCGCCTCCAAAACTCTGGTCTGTCAGAGCAGGCCATCAGGTGTCTCAGCTTACATGAGGAACTCCTTAGGCTGAAATGGGAAAAAAACAATGGCAGGTGTCCTTAGGACTTCAGGAGAAATGTGACTGAATCTAAAAGAAAGTTAGAAGTCACACCAACCTCTGAAGGATGAAGAGGTGGTCTCAAAAGCCAGAAAAGCGCCTTGAGAGAGGGAAATGTCAAAATACAAGTCCCTTAGCTTGTGCCATTTGATGGTTCTTAGGGAAAAGGGGGAAAATCGTGTCCTTCAATTACCCTCTTGCCCAGTCCCCGGTACCTGTGCTCTAAGCCTTCAACGGAAATAATTGCTGAAAGAGCAAAAAGAAGTCTTTCGAAACACTTGGAAGAGCTATGTGAAGAAGGGTAAACAGTTTTTCCCATCCTGAAGAGCCCAGCTGCAATGAGAGTACCAGTGCACGCAGGCTAGAGGAGAAACCTTTAAGAGAAGGATGCAAACAACCATAAGCAAGAAAGGCGCAAAATGGAACGATGGCACCTCCTCCAGGTTCTTTAAGGGAAGGAGCAGATGTGGCAATAGAAGAAATAGCAGTGTGATGGTCAAGAGTGTGCCCCTAATGGCCATGGCAGCAAAAGAGAACATAGCTAGAACAGACTCCAGAGAGGATCATAAATTGGAGTCAGCCGACCCGGAAACCCAGGAACAATAGTGGCAGAGATCAAAAACTGCTACACTTACCACTCATGTACCCACCAGGGTTAAGGCTGGTACAGACTGACACAAATCACTCATGTAACCACCAGGGTTAAGGCTGGTACAGACTGACAAACAAAGGCTTATGATAAAAACATGCACTCACATTCTTACGGAGCCATGGTGATTTTGACAATTTCATGAAGGTCAAATGAGGCTTAAAACTTTTGCTTTCTTCTATCAGGATGCCTTTTTCTTGAAATGTCCTTTTTGCCGTTTCTGAAGAAAATAAAAAGAAACACAAGAATGCTATTGCAACATATAGTTGTCTTTAGTTACAAAAATGTTAACTCAAAAATAACTATTTGGGACCAGCAGATGGTATAATGGTTATGCCACTGGACTCCCAAATTGCTGACCACAGTTCCAGTCTTGGACCCAGAAGCTTGAAACTCATGCTGGGCACGTGTGCATGCATGCCCAAAATCCCAAGAGGAGAATGGAGGAGAAGAGATTTATATATATGAGACTTTTTTTAAACAAAGAAGAAAAAACCACAATGTATCTATAGGATAACAATACTATATGACTGTGATGCTTGCTTTATATATATCTCTATGTTAACTGAATTATTACAATGAACATGCTTCCTTTGAATAAAAAATTTAAAAATAAGCACAATAACAAACTGACTGTATATCAGCAACAAAACACAAGCATCATACAAGACTGCACAAATAGGTCAATGGAATTATTTACCATATATATGAAAAATTCAAACTTTCAAAGAGCATCTGTAAACAACCTTTAAGTTGGGCTTTTAATCCAAAAACATATGTGGTTAATACTACTGAATCGATTTTAAGTATAAGAAATGTGTCCCAGGTGCCCGATGTGCTGACGTGACATACATGTGCATGGCAGCACAGACCGGGTATGCAACAGCGCTTCCTGGATCTGAATTGAGCACCGCCCATAAGAAATCAATGCTCAAGGTCATACTCCTTGTAGGGGTAGGAGAAGGAACTAGAGGCTAGGTGGCCTAACTCTGATCATGCTTCAGGCTACAATCCTGGGGCTGAAACCCTTAACATTGAAAGATGTTTTCAATGCAATACAGGACTCCTAAGTACAATTTAGTTTAACCACCAATTCTGTTGGAGTCTGGAGATTACTAATTCACATAATTATAACCAGAAACACTTGAATGGAAACAAAATCCAGTGTATCTCCAACCTGCCTGAATAATTTATACATAGTGTAAGATTTTTGATTTTTGTCTTTCTGTGTAGGAACTTAAAATACAACAGATGTATGAGTGAACAAAACAAAGACACCATATTATCCTTTCTAAGAAAACGAAAGATTTTTTGGTAATGATTGGTTCATATAAAAAGAATAAAATAGTACGAATATAATTTACAGAGAATAGCATAGTTTCAAATAGAAATACCTGTACAAAATAAAACAATACACGGATGCATTTCATTTGCTAATGACATAATTCTAAGTGCTGTTGGTGCTGGCTGGTGTGGGTGGCCACTGTGCTAGCCTGAAGGATAAACAGCAGGGCAGAGAAGGAGCTTTAGACAGGAACTTTATGCTTACGCAAGAGGAGCTCCTGGGGCAGAGCCCACGTGTCAATCATGTCAGTGCTCAGCAGGTCTGGGGCGCCTGACAGCACTGACCAGGCATTCACAGCACTTGCTGAATCTGCATTGAGCACCACCACCCATGTGCCAGGGGTTTTACGTATGTTTTATTATCTGCTCCTCCAAATAACTGTGAGCAATATTATTATTCCCACTTTGAAAACTTAAGAAACTGAAATTCTGAAATGTTAGTAGCTTATTCAAAGATATACGTAGAGACCTGAAAAGATGTCCATGATTAATTAAGAAAAAAAAAAAGGCATTACTAGTTCCCCGACACTGTTCAATTTCAATCCCCATCCCAAGGCAGTCTATACTATTTTCCTATGCTAGTAAAAATGTAAATATCAAGAACTAATTATTATCAAGAACTAATTATTTCTCTCTCTTTTTAAAAATACCCCAGGCAGTCACGTTAGAGCTATAGCAATCATATCACTTGCCTTTTTCACTTAACAGCTCATGGACACCTTTTCAGGCCTATACAAAGCTCATAGCCGGATAGCAGTAAAGATAAAATTTGAACTCAAAATTATTAAATCCATGCCATCTCCTGCACAGAGAATCTAAAATCTCCTTTCTGGCTTCTAAGAAACGTTTTAAAATAAAAGCTAAAGGTGACTGAGTTACATTAAGGCTGATGGTAGATATGAATTTCAGTTTACAAACTTGGGTTTTATCACTCAGTCATTCAGCAAGCATTTACTGAGAGGCTACCATATGCCAGGTTCTGTTCTGGGTGCTAAAGATACAACAATGAACCAAGACAAATTCTCTCCTGCCCGTGGGGAGCTTCTAGATATATTGCCTGCCACAAACAAATAAATTAAACAAAGTAAATTTTGAGTAAGTGAAAAGGAAGAAAAAAATGAAGAAGGTATAGATGTTACAGCTGAGCAAAAACCTGACAAGTAGACAAAAACCACATATCTGTCTGGGGAAAGAGGACTCCTGGCAAAAGGAACAACTTCCAGGGTGAGCAAGGGTTGAGCTGGGGGCCAGCAGGCGGCGAAGTGATTAAGGCACTGGACACCCATGTAGTCCAGTGATTTGAGTCCAGGACCCAGCGGCTTGAAACCCATGCTGGGCATGTACTGATTTTTGTCTTTCTGTGTAGGAACTTAAAATACAACAGATGTATGAGTGTGCCCAAATTCTGAGAGTAGAGTGGAGGAGAAGAGACTGCAGCATGGCCATCCCCCGTGAGGGGAGATTTCTCATTTTCTCTCTGTCTCTCCAGAGAGTGCATGCACACTATAGCAAAAATCTCTCTCTAAAAAAAAAAAAAAAAAAAAAAAAATGTTAGTAGCTTATTCAAAGATATACGTAGAGACCTGAAAAGATGTCCATGATTAATTAAGAAAAAAAAAAAGGCATTACTAGTTCCCCGACACTGTTCAATTTCAATCCCCATCCCAAGGCAGTCTATACTATTTTCCTATGCTAGTAAAAATGTAAATATCAAGAACTAATTATTATCAAGAACTAATTATTTCTCTCTCTTTTTAAAAATACCCCAGGCAGTCACGTTAGAGCTATAGCAATCATATCACTTGCCTTTTTCACTTAACAGCTCATGGACACCTTTTCAGGCCTATACAAAGCTCATAGCCGGATAGCAGTAAAGATAAAATTTGAACTCAAAATTATTAAATCCATGCCATCTCCTGCACAGAGAATCTAAAATCTCCTTTCTGGCTTCTAAGAAACGTTTTAAAATAAAAGCTAAAGGTGACTGAGTTACATTAAGGCTGATGGTAGATATGAATTTCAGTTTACAAACTTGGGTTTTATCACTCAGTCATTCAGCAAGCATTTACTGAGAGGCTACCATATGCCAGGTTCTGTTCTGGGTGCTAAAGATACAACAATGAACCAAGACAAATTCTCTCCTGCCCGTGGGGAGCTTCTAGATATATTGCCTGCCACAAACAAATAAATTAAACAAAGTAAATTTTGAGTAAGTGAAAAGGAAGAAAAAAATGAAGAAGGTATAGATGTTACAGCTGAGCAAAAACCTGACAAGTAGACAAAAACCACATATCTGTCTGGGGAAAGAGGACTCCTGGCAAAAGGAACAACTTCCAGGGTGAGCAAGGGTTGAGCTGGGGGCCAGCAGGCGGCGAAGTGATTAAGGCACTGGACACCCATGTAGTCCAGTGATTTGAGTCCAGGACCCAGCGGCTTGAAACCCATGCTGGGCATGTACTGATTTTTGTCTTTCTGTGTAGGAACTTAAAATACAACAGATGTATGAGTGTGCCCAAATTCTGAGAGTAGAGTGGAGGAGAAGAGACTGCAGCATGGCCATCCCCCGTGAGGGGAGATTTCTCATTTTCTCTCTGTCTCTCCAGAGAGTGCATGCACACTATAGCAAAAATCTCTCTCTAAAAAAAAAAAAAAAGTGTTGTGCAGTTCCTCACCACAGTAAAAGGACAGGGTCATGAAGGGTAGGTGGAAGCCTGGCAGGGCCTGGTGAAATCTCTGGATTTTATTCTAAGGATGACAGAAATTTTGAGGTTTTTAAGCAAGGTCAATTTACATGTGAGAATAACTTTCTTTATGCATCTATATTTCAACTAGAAAGTATATTTCTTTCTGGTGGAAAAAAAATTTAGACGTTTTTAAATCTTCAGCAGTTGGACGTGCTCCTCTCATCCCCTCAGACAAGGGTTTTGTTGAAGAAGGAAACTCACCATTGGGCATCTCCTGAGACATGCACCATGCTTGTTTTTTGCAGCTGGATCATCCCTTACTCACATATGTAAAAACCCTCTGCAACGTCTATGCCTCTGAAGAACACAAGGTTTCATTCCATCGCTCACCATGCCATACCAAGACAAGCAAGAACACACAAGGCTGCCTGTGGCATTTTCCTACCTTCTCGCTACTCTCGAGCACATAGAAATAGCACAGTGCTCCGGGCAGGGATGAAAAAGGTCAGAACACCTAACACACAACACCATCCTCTCTCCTCTTGTCCTCACTACTTCTGTGAGCATAAGGGATTCTGGCCTGGCTGCCTCTGTGGCAGAGCACAGGTCACTCCAGTTCTCAGACTTATGTGGTCCTATTGTTTTTCATTCACGGGGTGAGGGAGGGTCAAGAACTCACACTCTTGGCCAGTCTCTGACTCTTCTTCACCAACCCAGACTATCTTTTCCAGCATCAAGGGCAGGAAAACTTAATATGCTTAGTTTTCAACACTCCAAAGGCTTTTTTCTACTCTATCTGCTGGCTTCTTCCTCTTCTGAGAACATGGGAGGGGCAAGCAGAGACTAAGTGATAGAAAAACTAGAGAAAAACTTACTTAATATTTCACTAGGTCCTGCAGCCTCGTGGTTAAGGAAGCCAGCTTACATATGGCTGAGCACAGTTTCAATCCTGCCCAGTAGCTTGACAAATAAACCAAGCATGTGTGTATTCAAAATCCTGATGTGATGGAGAAATATAGAAGGGAGTGCAGTGTGACCATGCCCAGTTGGGGTTGGTATTTTCGTTTAGGTTTGTTTTAGTTTTTAGTTTCCCAGAGGACATGTGTACCCCCTGGAGAGACATAGAGTGAGAGAGAGAGAGAAAGAGATGGAAAAGAAGAAAGTGCTCCCCACGAGAGATAGTCACATAGCA